ACCACGACAACTCACGCACCTTTTAGGCTCGATCTACACTATGATGCCGTTCTCGGTCCGATCTCGCTCCGGTCTCGATCGGTTCCCGGTCCGGTAAAGTATTCTCAAACAAGAAAGAATCAGAGTGTTCTCACTACCGTATCGCTCTGGTTCCGATCCGGCATCGCGTCGGACCTGTCATGACTTATACCGACAGTGTGAATACGTTTTTGTTCCAACTCCAGTCTTTCTTCGGTCTTGCAAGGAGACGTTACGTTTTTCTTCTAGTCATGGCTAGTAATAAATCGTGGCATTCTGAAAAACGTACTTTATTTGAGTTATTTATAACATTTGATCATAAATAATAAACTTTTCTTCGTTGTCTATAAAATGACGATATAACGTGTGATATACGCCTTATTCTTTTCTCGTTAGTAAACTGCGATGTATCCACATTCTTCCTCTTTTCATTTTATTTTGTAATTTTTTTTTCATTTGTATTCTGTTCGTCCAAACTAATAGCTATTATCGTTAATTCTTCGATTGAAAAATTAAATGCCATTTTTTGGCGAGTACAATATATCGAATTATTTCGAGAAACGTCCTATGTCGACCACGGATCGAGACAGACTGAGTGTGGAACTAGTAGTGTAGACACAGCGAGATTTGATCGAACCGAGACCGGAGCGAGGTCGGACCGAGAACGGCATCATAGTGTGGATCGAGCCTTAGTCTTTTTTCAGATTTCTTGCGCTTAGCTGTCCTGGTGGACGAATCTTTGGGCAGGAAGCGATACTTGACAGAAAATATTATACACAGTAAGTATTCATCAGTGACCTCGAATTGATGCGCCATATCAATCTATATACGAAACAATTCCCAAAATTTTGGTAATTATACTATTAATAAATCAAAAACAGGACGATTTTCGATTTTTTGGACTTTTTTCTGTCCGATGTTGATTGATGTTATGGCATTTATGATTGCTCGCATGAATAGCTATTATGTTTCGAGCGAGAAGATCAAATTTTTCACAACGAAGCCGTAATGCAATTAGACTGCGTAATATTGCGAATCAATCTACTGTTGATAAAAACAAAATCGCATGAAAAGATTCGAGTTCAGTATTGCCAGGTTGACTGTTTCTGCAGTACATCTCCTGTTTGTTCAAATAAATATCATTATCTCCGATATTGTTCGAGAATTTCGCCAATTTGATTCATATTTGGCATTTTATAATTACAACTATTTTTACGTGTTGAGATTTTTCTAGTACAACCATATTCTTTGATTTTATTGATTTTATTTTGAATCAATCAACTGAAAACACAATTTTGTTTTCGCTTGTGTTTTCTCCATATCTAGTTTCATTTTCGAGAAAAAAAATTGAAGCCAATTTGCATATCGTGATCACCTGCTTTGGATACCAGCTGACAGTGATAGTGTCATATCAGTGGAAGTCATAGTTGTCAATTAGCAGTGATTCCATCATGAATAATTTTACTAACGCTGAAATGGCTGACATGCACTTCATTTATGGATTATCGAATAGAAATGTGGAAGGAACACGAAGAATTCACCAGGACAAATATCTCAACAGAGGAATTCCATGTGCTAAAACATTCAGAATGCTAAATGCAAGGTTATGTGAAACTGGGAGATTTAATGAAAATTCAGGTGGTGGAAAACCAGAAACTGTAACAACGCCTGAACTAGAAGAAGCTAGTACCAGGAAGATTGCATAGCAGCTGGAAGTCAACCTAAAAACCGAATGGACAGTTCTCTTCCACCCAAGATTAATGTTTTGCAGGTAGTTGATTCATTCGATGGCACACAATAATAATTTTTTATCAAATATTTTATTTACAGACGAAGCAAACTTTCCACGAGATGCTATTATGACCTTCTACAATTACCATTTTTGGGGCGATGAAAATTCCACGTTATTAAAGTAAGTCATTTTCAGCAATAATTTTGGCTGAACGTTTGGGTAGGAATGATTGGTGACTACCTAATTGGCCAATTTTTTTCTACCAGACGGACTTTTTCCAATAGCATTTACTCATTTACTCATGTGATTTATGCACGACGGGGCTCCAGCTCATTTGAGTGTTCTTGTTTGACAGCATCTCGACATCACCTACCCTAATAGCTGGATTTGACGTGCATTACCTCAAAATTGGCCAGCTCGCAGTCCTGATATGAATCCTCTATTTATGGGGTCATCTGAAGGCTCTCGTTTATCAAACTCCTGTTCTAGATGTAAATGATTTAAGGAATCCAATAACTGACAATTGCAATGTCATTTGTTTCATACACTATTCTACAGGATAACCCAATTTACAGAATGGGGAGTGACAGTGGCATTTACAAATGTCACAAAGAATAAATACTCCAGGTATTTTTGAACGTGTCAGACAATCAATGACAAATCGAATGCAATCGTGTATTCTATCAGAAGGTGGACATTTTACTCATTTACTTCAAGATCGGAATTGTTTATTATTTACTTTCGGTTTTTATTTTATGTTATCCATGGATAATTTTTAGAAGAGATTTTTTTCTCGAAAACGAAGCTTGATATGAAGAAAATACAAACAACGAGAAAGTTGTATTTTCAGTTGCTTCCTCTGGAAACATAAGAAACTACAAAAAAAGTCGGTGGCGTTCTTTTTTTTTTAATTTCGAAAGGCTATGGTGCCCACTGAGACGCCACTGGATCTAATAATTTCAATTTAGTATTTGTGTGATTATTATAAATAATAATGATAATACTAATGATAATAATAAATGCTTGAAAGGTAACTTAGTACAAGAGATACTAACTTAACCTAACAAATCTGCACATCAGTAATGAATGAGGGCGGAAATTGCTCTTCCATCCAACCAGCAAATAAAAAAGAAAAAGAAAAAAAAGAAAAGCAGGAAAGAGAGGTGAGAAACGAATAAATGGGAATTTGATAATTTAAATGTGAAAAGTCGTGTCATAAACATTAAGGAAATTCAATCTGTTCAAAATCCCTTTTTCAAAAGTCGAAACTTGTGTGAGCTAAGGATTAACGAGGTCTTACTTTTCAACGTGTGATTCCTAACACGATAATTTTGATAGTTTCTGCATATTCATGGTAAATAAAAATATTGAGTATAGGTATCAACATCAATATCAACTACATAGTATAATGAAATAACAGAAATATGAAATTTTACAATGAACACGTAACATTGAAAAAAAACAATTGAATGCAGTCAGACAGTGCATTTCTTTTATGTCCCCCTCCGTCTTATATTTTGAAAGGGTCAACTCAAAACTCAAGATGGCGACTGGGAGCCATCTGCAGAAAAAAAAATTGAATGGAAAGGGGCGTCTTGTGATACATCATTTTAAAACTCCTGACGAATATTCCACAACCCTAGAATATGAAGTCAATACCTTCACATACTACAAAATGGCGGAACATTTAATCATTTCCTGAAGACAAACACATCAATATCGATATTTCTAGAAATATTCCTTTTTATCAGCCATATGGCAATTCCAACAACGCGATAAGGTTTGTTAAGTTATTTTTTGTTTATAAAAACGTCAAAAAATGTCAGTACGACAATGAACATCATTGTTCAGTTAGAATTTTCTCATTTAGTTTTCGATTTTACTAGTAGAAAAGTACCACGTCAATAGTCTCTAAAATGGCCAATTCTCATCCATTGGAAGGAAAAATTGAAGCGATTTTTATTTACAGTTCGACGCGTTACTTTCACGAGACCGAAAGGATTTTCAATGAACGTTTTCCGAATCGTCCTATCTGTAAAAAAATATTTGAGGGAACTTGTATCCAAATTCACAACTACCGGTAGTGTACTTAACAAAAAGCCCCCAGGTCATCCGTCCATTCCGGAAGGACAGCAAGTGCAAATAATTGGTGAGATGGTAGTAAATCCTGAACAGTCTACTTATTCCGTCGCGAATGTTCGTGAGGTGCCTCCTTCTACTGTGTGGAGACTTTTGAAGAGGAATAGGTATCATCTATAAAAAATTGAAATGGTACGCCAATTAACTGAAGATGACACTGATCGAAGAACAGAATTCTGCGAAATCATGACAGAAACCATTGAAAGGCATCCTACTTATCTCCACAATATTTGTTTTAGTAACGAATGTACATTTTATTTAAACGGCAATGTTCACAGACAAAATTGCTATTGGGCTATTTGAAGCAAAAGGTGCACGAAACTGAACCTGCTTCAATATTGGATATACGGCAGAGAATAATAAATATTTGTAGAGATATTGACGTTACTGTGTTCGAAAATGTTTCTTGCTGTTTCCCAAACAGAAATACTGAAATTTTTTAAATCATTTTTGATGGTATAAAGTTTCTAATTTTGTGAAAAATTTCAATAATAGAAGATATTTCTTTCTAATTTTTTCAATATGTTTATTCCATGACAATTTCTCATCAATGTATAAACCTAATTTTTTTTGTTTTTGAATATTTAATAGAGTTTGGATGAAACATAATCGAATTATTTGAAGTATTAATTAGTCTCAGGGAAATATTCATATATGAAGATTTATTGAAATTGAGCCTCAACTTATGTTCAATAAGACTTTACACTAGTAATTCAGTTAAATTTCGATTTTGAACTCGGATTTTTTTTAATCCGACGTCAGACTTGTGATATAGTGAATTTTATTATCAAAAAATACTATGTGTAAACTAAAAAGTTTGCCCTTCTTCACTTGTATAAAGTTCTCCATTATAATTTTTATATTTTTTCAGATTGTGGAAGGTAACAATTACCCAAAAAAGGTCGATAAAAAAACTGATTTTTTCCTCCACAAAAAATTACTTTCGTTGAATACTATGTGTACCTTCTATACATTCGTAGTTTACACATTTCAAGACAATTCGTTTTTTTTGTCTTGATCCAATTCAAGCCAATTACCGATTCACATGACAAGCCGCAGTTTAAAAACAAATACGAGTATGTGTTGAATTCGTGCCACACTTTGGGTTCTGTGAGTACCCAATCGACCAAATCATTCGCCGCAATCAGTTTACACAAGTATCTGTAATATGATTTCGTTATAATCAACAAGAATTTCTCATTGAGAAATTGCTATATAAAGAATGGATTTGTTCTTAGCTGATATCAGTTTCGATTCATTCAAAGTAGTTGAAATCCACATTTCGAAAATGAGAACGGTTAGTTGGTAAATTTCGGTATCGATATCAAAATCGATTATATTTTTCTGTTCGCAGATCATCTTGTTGGTAGTGGTTGTCATTGGTGCAGTTGTAGGAGGACATGGGGATGGGGGTGAAAACGTAAGTGCAATCTCAAGGATTATTTAGTCTTGTTGAAGAATGGTATGCGGTAAGTATCTGGTCATATCTGACCAGTCAATGAGATAACTGAGCTGTGGTAATGGGGGTAACTTGAAAACTTTGGTAATGGCGAAATCGGAAATCTTGAAGCTAAAGCATCTCCTTGATGAAAAGTTGCAGTTTTAGTTTTATAGTTTGCGAAATTATTTTCTCATAAATCAAAGATAAAAAAGAAAATTCACGAGAACATTTTGTAGTGAAATCTAGAGAAACCCAAAAAATGTAGTCCGCAAGAATGAAGTCACGTGCAATGGCTAAGCTAAAACGATGAAAATTAATGTTAAAATAAGTAATGAGGGTTATAATTTTTGTAGATTAGTGAATCTGCAGAAAATTTTGTGGTCATTAAATATATTCAAGTAACATTTCTTTGTGATACTTCCGCTAAATAGTGTACAAAACCGCCACGCAACACGTGTTCCACTTCAGGCACGCCTATTGTATAGAGAGACACATTCTGTAAACTATTCAGTGAAAATATAACGATATAGTAATTAAATTGAAATGGGTGTATTTTTAGGAGGAATGAATGTTTTGCCTTGTGTAGATCATGAAAAAAAAATTACTTTCAGACAAAAACTGGAAGAAAAAACCCTTTCGAAACAACCACTTCCATATAAACACTGAATAATACAAAAAACAGTTTTCTCTATTGAGTTTGTATTCCAAACATTCGTTATGAAATTGAATCAGATATCATTCACAGGACTGCTACACGATATAGTGAATGAAAGAGTGATTATTAATTGGATGCGTGTTCAAAATGATATTTGTTATTGCTAGACCACACCTGGTCATTTGGTACACTCATATGTTTGCATGATATTGTTACCCGTACGCTTGGGCTCTTAATGAATCAGTGGACCGCTTATTCAGATTTAATAACCCCATTTAATGATTAAAAACTGTAAATAAACATTTTACTTCATTTAACTTCATAATTATTAGAATTCCTACACGTATTTACTGTTGCTTGTTATCTCGCAACTTGGATCGAACTCCTGACTAAGTAGTTAGGTACAAAGTGACTGAGTCTACTGTACTTTCCACGAAAACACACGGGTTTATTGTGGCTCACATTTAAACTCGACCAAACAAATCCAGATTCTTAACAAAGCCAATTACTTCATTTGATGATTGTTCTCTTAGATCAGCTGGTAAGGATAGAACTCTGTCAAACACTGAAACCTGATCCAGTTCTTGGCGGAGCAGGCACAAAGTAGGTGCAAGGCGAAAAGTCGCCTCTTGGCAACTTGAAATTGATACGCACTCCGAACTAATCTAACTTATCTGCTTGCCTATCTCTGCAAAGTCTTGGAATCTTGTAACAAATTCGTTCCTAAGATCGACCAGAAATTTTACGAACTCTGCAATGTTTGCAAAATCGTTTTCAAAGATATCCAGCTTACGACGAAAAGCAGACATGCTTTGTATCAGATCACATATTAATTTTCCATTTCCTTGTGATTCTGTGTTGAGGCATTTGAACATTTCTAAAAAAGCCACGACCAGCATTTTACGCTTGTTTGTGCTTTCTGACTCCCTCCGTATCTAAGTTTTGCAAGAAGGCAGTTACTTCTTCTTTTATCAGCCAGAAACTTTCAATAACTTGACCTTTACTTAGCCAACGAACATTTTGTCGTGTTGCAGTCAAGTCAGAATACGTTGTCAGAAAAGAAACTCCTTGAAAGACATTCTCTTCAGCGCAGACATGTTTGTGCTGCTCTTCAGCAGCACAGAGGATTTTTTTTTCAACTTGACCAAGCTGTCCATCACTTCTTTCAGTGTAGCACTGAGTTTTCCACAAAGGGCTGCCTGGTGAATCATGGACTGATACGATATTAGACCTGATTCTCTTTACTACACCTTTTTCTTTGCCAATCATTGCTGGGGCCCCGTCAGTTGAAAGCGACACCATTTTATCTTAACTAATGTTAGATTTAGTTATAAATTCATTAATGACCTCGAATAAATCTTCTCCTCCTTCAACGGCAACTCTTCCCTAAAAATCTGACAGTCAATATCAAGAAATCTTACGCAAATAGACATTTATTCATCGTCAACAATGTCACATGATTCATCAAGTGCTATGGCGTATCCAGATGTCTTCTACAGAAGTTCAAGAAGAGTGTTTTTAATATCAGCAGCAAAAATTTCCGTTTTTAGTGTATTACTTCTCGCTGATGATGGAATACTTTGAAATGGAGCGACATCTTCTTTTCTTCTTCTAAAAGTATCGTGACTACTTCTAACATAATTTTTTTCACCATCTCAGAATCTGAAAATGGTTTCTGCTGTTCATTAGGCGTCCAGCACACACGTAGCGCTGCATCTGTGAATTTTTATTGCTCGCTCATGCAACGAACTAGTAATTTTGTGCTATTTTTGTGAGAACTGGGATTGAAGTTTTCCTTTACGAGCCTTACTGCCAAGGGGAAAGTTTTTGTGAAATTGCTGATGGGTTGTTTCGTAGTATCGCTTCAAACGTGCATTGGACGACCTCGAGCGCTGGTACCTCGATTGGAAGATCCGAGTGAACCCGAACAAGACTCAGGCGATAACCATGCTATCTTCTCCGGCCAGAAAAGTGAGAATCTCTGGAAGGGAGATTGACTGGCAAGCGCGGGTAAAGTACCTCGGCCTTCTAATAGACCGTAGGCTCACTTGGAACCCGCACATTATGTGCGTCAAGTCAAAGATCGAGGGTCGGATAGCTAGTCTGTACCCACCGATCAACAGAAAATCCAAAATGAGTTTGAAGAACAAAATCACTATCTATAATACGATGTTCAAGCCTGTCATCATGTATGCTTCAGGCGTCTGGGGACAAGCGGCTACGTATAATATCTCCATTCTGGGGAGATTACAAAACAAGTCAATGAGGATGATTGTGGATGCTCCTTGGTTCGTGCGGAATTAAGCCATCCGCAGAGATTTGAACCTGCCTTCCATTCGGCAGTCCATTCAGTCGAGGAATCGGCGAGTTTTTGAAGGTGCGGAAACTCACGAAAATTCGTTAGTTAGGGAAGCTACAGACTATGCTGTAGACGACCCCTCCCGATATAGAAGGCCTCGACACTCATGTCCTCCATCCCACCCCAGTCAGGTAGGGGAACCCGGTGAAGGGCGGTACTGATGCCAACATCCCCTCAGTCATGAACCATTTGTTCTTCTTCGACAAAAATCAGCTAAGAGGGTGAGGGAGCTGGGCTCCAGCCTGATTGAAACGAAGACGCTTGGTCGGTATCACTTCAAATTACCTCTCTTAACAATAGCGACAGTTTCATTGCATATAAGGTACACTGGAACCGTTCGAGGCCTATTAGGCAGCGTAAAACAATATTGTTCAGAATCTATATTAGCATAGGTACGAAAATATTATGAAAACGCGAAAAATCACAAAACAAATGAATGGTTGCTCCGCGGTTTGCGCTACAACTGACAGTCCGCTTCCCCCGCCCACACGCCCGCACCCCCGATTTTGATACTCGTTCGCGCTTGTTTCAACAAAACGAAATTAACTGTAGACAAGGATGTGGTTGCACCGACTGAACATGCAAAAAATTTAGGTATCATCCTTGATTCAAACTTGAAATTCAAACATCACATCAATAAATGCATCAGTATTGCCTATATGAACATCAAACAAATTTATACCAACAGACAATGTCTCAACAAAAAAGTAATATCCATAGTCTGTGAATCTCTTGTATTATCTAGATTTAATTTTGGAAGCACAGTCTATGGGCCATGCATTGATTATGAAGATAAACGTAGAATTCAACATATATCACATAAACTCAAAGATAGCAACTGGCTCAATATGGCAAAACGGCAATCATTACATGCTGCTTGTCTATATCATAAAACTATCACTGAAAAAGCTCCCAAATATTTATACAAGAAATTGTCATACCGTTCAGATATCCACAATATCAACATTCGTTACAGGGTAAGACTAACACCCCCATACACCGTACAGAAATTATTCAAAAAATCTTTTTCATACCAGATCGCACGAGTGTACAACTCAATCTTTGATGAACTTAAACTGATGTCTTTGAAAAAATTCAAAAGAGCATTGAAATGGAAATATTTGAACGAAATGTAATGTACACCCATTGTCAATAAGAATGGTGGTTCGTAACATTACTACCTTCTTTTTTGTAATCGTTTATAATTATGTCTAATATACTATTGTGTCAATTATATATTTAGTACTTTCACTCAACATTTGTAAATAGTTTTGAATATTTTTCTCTGTTATGTTTTCTGCCGATTTTTTTTCGTTTTTTTTGCATGATATATATGTATGTGTGTATATGGGTACATATATGTGTATATGTATTGTGTATACATGTATATATAGTTCTTTTTTTTTGGCCTAAGATGGAAAACAGAGGTTGCATCTTTTGGTGCAACCAACTGATCTTCAGCCTTTCCCGTTTATTTATTGTATCATTATGGGAATAAAGACCTATTATTATTATGTTTTGAGTGTCAGTTCTGTTTTGATCAATTTTTTTACTTTATTTCTAGTGTTATGTACGTGGTAATACTAATAAAGGTATACTATACCTTATCTACGTATTAATTTTTACATTTTGTATATAACACATTACAATATTTGGCGGTCCGATGTTCCACTTTTCGCAGACCGCAAACGGACCGCGGTCCGACTGTTGCTCCATAACAATGTTTTTTACTTTCTCAACATTTTCATAGTTTGTTGATATTCTGGGGCGTTCAGGGGAAGTGTCATCTTTAACATCTTCTCGACCTTCTGTAAAAAGCTTATACTACTTGTAAACTCAGAGTACAATCACCGTATGCCACTGTCAACATTTCAAATGCTTTTGAGCACTGAATTTCATTTTTTTACACAAAATTTTATGAGAAGTTTTGATCCATTTGTTTCGATAGCAGAAAATCGCCGAACATGCAAACTTTTATGTCTCTCACCAACAAAATGAACAAACTAAACAGCTGAAACTGGGAACATATGTTCGAGACGAGTGTACCAACATAAAAAAGTCACCAATCGATTGTATGTATCCCGCAAAATTTGAACATTCAGCTCATTTTTTGAATAGACCTCGTACACTGTACTGTTTTCAAATATTTGGCATCAGGTAAACTTTGTGTTACAGGATAATGTGCACTACAAATTCGAATATGGCGTCCACGATCCTCACACACACGACCAGAAATCTCATTACGAACACAGAGATGGACACCATGTCGTTGGGGCTTACACCTTGAAGGAAGCTGACGGTACTTTCCGTATTGTGAAGTACAAATCAGGTCCTCACACTGGTTTCGAGGCTGTTGTGGAACGACTTGGTCATGCTCAGCATCCAGCTCATTACGGACATGGACATGGTGGGCATGGTGAAGACAGTGGGCATGGTGGTAATGGTGGACACGGAGGATCAGGAGGTTCTAGCTACGTCGGAAAAACTCATTGGGGTAATCAAGGACATGGACATTAACTTTACAACATAATTTGTATTTAATTTTTGTTACCGTTTTGTTGACTTTGTAAATAAATGTCAGTGAGTCAAAAGATATATTTTTTATAATTTTCTTCATTGCTCGGATTGTAATATTGGTATATTTATAATAATAATAACATTTATTTGACTACGTTACACAATACAATATGTTTGTAACAAGTCATGTTTGGCTTTACATTTAAAATTAACACGCAAATAACAACAATCACATGACTTCGACAATTGCGGAACTAGTCAAATGTTACACTCATACTCAATCCTTAAAGAGATGGGATGGAATCAAAGGATGCAGTCTTGCCAGGATCATCCTGGGCGACCCTGGGAAGCTGGCGCCGAAAAAATATCTGGCGATGACCAGGAAAAATCTACGATTAACAGTAGGATTTCTGACTGGCCACTGTCATCTAGGGAAACACCTCCATAATATGGGGCTAGTGGACACACATCTATGCAGGATGTGTGAACAGAATGATGAGACTGTCAGGCATGTCCTGTGCGAGTGCCCGGAGTTATCGTCAATAAGAGAGTGTGTGTTCGGCGAGTCTTGGCCTACACCTGCCGATATAAAGGAGATATCTCCCAGTGACCTGTCCACCTTCCTGGAAAGAACAGGATGGACGATGACCTAGGAGGACAAATCTTTGGGAGGATGTACAATGGGTCACATGTAGCCTAAGTGCTGTGGGTCTACACTCAGCCACCCTACTCTATAGATACAGATACAGAACAACAATCACATATGTAAAAAGTTTTAATATTAAAAAGTAGTAGTGAATTGTGTGTTACCACAAAAATGTATTCTGAATTCATCGACAGAATAGAAGCAATGCCTCAACAAATAATTTTTCAATTTTCTCTTGTAAGTGTTCAGACTGAGTTCTTTGAAATCTTGGGGCAAAATATTGTACAGAGAGTATTCTATGGATTTTTTAGCGATAAGTGAAGTCGAAATCGATTCATTCTAATGTGGTGAGCGTTTCGTGAATATAACATTATATCGCCAAGGATGGTTTCTTCTTGTGGATTTCAATCAAAACTTAATAAAGAAATAAAGTTGGCAATGGCATAATCCTGAGTTTTTTTAAATATTCTTGACAGTGATCCCTGTATCCAATGTTAACCAGCACTCTCAATGCTTTCTTTTGCATCCTAAATATTTGAATGAAATGACATGAATTTTCCCAAAGTTGTACACCATAACTAATATGAGACTGAAACAGTGAAAAATATGAGGTTTATGATATATTTGCACTAGTGATGTACTTCAATTGGCGAAGAACAAAATATGTGCAGACCGGTTGAGTATTATCTAATGTAATGCCCAGTAATTTAACTTAATTAGAGATAATTTGATTATTAGCAGAAATCTGGATGTATTGTGTTTTCTGACAATTCAGTTTAAGCTTATTAGATAGAAACCACTGAAGCAATATTAGATACCTCGTCGAGGTGAGACTGTAACATGACAATCTGAAGACAATCTGAAAACCGTGAGATATATGAACTATATTATCTTTAAGTTACCACAAAAAATATTAGTAAATAATACAAAAAACATAGTTTTTCAATTGATTTTTGGATATTTTGCTTAGAATTTATGTCATTTTCTTCTGAATTTGTTTTACGTTATTCTGCAATTATAAATCTGTGTATCATGCTCGACACACCAACGAAAAAGTATATACCCCTTTTAGATGATTAACGTTTTGGGAAGTTATCCCTTCCGTTCTCAAAACCCAAAAATTAACTTATAAAAAACACCTAAGGCGAAAATAGATATCCAGTATCGGTTGTTGGTGTTTATGGCCCGGAGTCTCTGTTATTCGTTTATGAACTCGGAAGGAGAATAGGCCAAGCAACGAACGATTAACATTCTACCTCTTTTTTGATAGAAAGAATTAGTATTGCAATTCAACGTGGTAATGCTGCTTCGTTCCTTGGAACTGTTCCTCCTTCACATAATTTTGATGAGATCATGCATTGCCCTCATTTCAGTACGAAACAAGCCGAGATATGTGTATATCCATCAGTCTCCTATCAAGGTTAATTCACAAGTGATTGATCCACCTTCTATTGCAGTGCGGTCATTGGACTTAGGTCATTCTTGCCCCCCAAATATGAGCTGCAGTCCTTGTGGTTTTGGTTCCCTTTCATTGAAAGAGCTTCATGAAGCAAGAGCCGAATAGATCCCTCTACGAAACCCTTAATCACTTGGAAGGATCGATTGTAGCTTGAGAAATGGTTCTGATGTAGATTCTGTGAAACACATTCTTCCTTAGAATCAGTAGACAGTTGTCTTGGGAATTTTGCGAAGAAAATTGGGTTAGATAATTTAATCCACTAGATACTCGTTAGGACAACAAACGGATTGTTCCGAATTCTTGGGCATCTCGATAAATACTTTTCATGGGCATAAAATAACAGTCTATCTCGTCTTGTGATATTGTGATATTTTGCTGGAGAAATCCTCACTTGTTTATTTTGTAGTAAATGTTCAAGAGGTAGCAAAACACGTATGTGATTTTTTTGGAACTCCAGCTAGCGTTTCCAAATATGACTGATAATCAGTCCTTGCAAAGCTTCTTGTTAAATCATATGAAAATGGAACCTTCAACGGGTGATGATCAATTGTATCGCCAAACATGCGCCAAACTAACTTACTATTATAAGAAAACAAATACAGCTGAGGCACCAGTTAATCTTATAATAACACTAATGATCTTCAAATATGACTCAACCTCTGACGGAAGCATCAAACTCTTACGAAGGTTCGAAATAGATGAACACTTCAATCTAGCGGACCACTATTATAACCTTCATGCAGTCACTGTTCACTGTGGTTCCGGAGTTGAATCTGGTCATTATTACGCCTTGGTCAAAGACGAAACGGACTGGTTTAAGTTTGACGATAGTCGTGTCACTTAGTGTTCTGGAGATGTATTCAATTGATTGGGAGCCTCTGGAGACACCCTACAGTTTGTTTTATGGAAGAGAGGACATTGGTAGATCAAGATCTTCAGATGATGTGGTGCTTCAGGTTTCTCCGGGTTTTCCTGCAGCTGATAACGCAAATGCGCTACTGAAATCAATGAAGTCGCCCCGGAGAACCAATTAATTTTTGTTGTTGTTTCATAATTTCATGATTTGTATTACTTTCTTCTTTACTGTTACCAGAAAATTCAGAGAAATGTATTTCCTTCAACAAACGTCAAAAGATCAAAAGAATAAAATGTCCAAAATGTCACATTCGATAGCCTTCACAAACATATACATGTATAGTATATACGAAGTCAATTCGAATGGCATAAAAATTAAATAGTTACCGAACGTCGGCAGTTTCTTTGTATACCATGGGCGGCGTTGTGTAATTTTTTTGTCTAATCATTATTTTCATGTGGGATTATATAGTCTCAACTAGTAAATTTATCAAACCCGGTACATTAGTCTTTTATTCAGCTGTTCGTATTGACTTCGTATAGACTATACGTGTAAGATATGGACATCTTGTAGGATGTCCAGATGTCCGTTTTCGAACTCTAGCCTCAACGGTAACCAGGTAGCTATTTGAAAAGCACTTGTCACTTGCCAAAGTAATATATGCGGAATCTTTTCCTTTGCTCATTTTTTCGTGAGAATCTTTGGTAACCATTTTTGTTTCACTCCATTTTATTGCGTGAATCAGTTGATTTTAAAATATGCTCTGCTTTCCTCGTCATGTTATCTGTGAGGTATATCTGTAAATCTCTCTGCAAATTATGTTTATGATAACATAACCATTTGTAGGATATAAGCAATTGTAAATTCAGAAGGGGATGAAAATAGTCTTTTTGAATGCAAGCTGGAAAGATCATAATGATTGCAAAGTATGGAAGCATTAAACGGGAGCATTGGAAATATTTGCAAACTGTCAAGTTTGCCAGAATGTTCTGAATTATAACTACACACTTTTTCAGTGGGAAATCATTCAAGGTTCAACTGAAAAAGCTTCTGTATAGTGAAATGTATCTTGAGTTGAGTTCATATCGTGAAAATTATTCAATTATCATCATCTGAAGTCTCATTAATTTTCATCAAGTAACGAGTCAGTGTATTCATAATAAAAAAGGATCGATATTGCAATTCTAGGCCATTTTGTCTTGATAAAAAATGTTCAATCTTTGACTAAGTTGTTCAAAGCATCAGTAGTGAGTCGTATAAACGTTTTCAGAATTTTTTATTAACACATATTCCTCCCTTACAAAATGAAAACTATTCGTGAATTTGACAAAGTGATTTGACAGAAGGTATGAATTTTGATAGATCCTCTCGGAACGCGTCAACCATAATCAAGCTCTGTTGTACATCATATGTTGTATGATGTGTTAATTAATTTTATTCTGTCAATGTTGCTTCCTGAAAATGAGCTGATATTATCTAAATTATCTCTTGCATTTGCATCAAGGTGAAAACTAGTTTCTTTTGAAGAACTGTTTTTGTACTTGTACTTGATGAACTTGATAAAAATCCATAAGTAACGTATTCAAAAAACTCTTTATAGTGTACTAGGAGTACTAAGTATCAGTACTAGGAAAGTAATTCAATCATAATATTATCTTGCCTATGAAGTATTCAATATGAATCAATTAATCCTTTCAATCTTCACAAATACCAGAAATTAACTTTCTAAAATATTATTGTTTCTTTTTTTATCACTACACGTTTAACAATTCATGTCAACCATTTCACGATACAAATGAGTAACGATGTAACTGAGACGTCAAAGATCGCGACTATGGGACGGGGATTCCCACATTACAGTGTCGTCCCCTTCTGGGGAAACCCCAAAGTATACATTGTGCTGAGCTAGTGCTTGTGGAGGAATTCTCGAAGAAGACAGCTGTGCTAGCGATTGTGCTACCCCAAAAAAGATGACACCCGGTATGGCCCGCCCCGCCGCCACACCCTTCCTCCGCCACACCCTTCCTCCGCCACTGAGCATCCTTCATTTTTAAGAATATGTTGATTTACAGGTACGTTTTAGGTTCGTTGAACAGATACTCCATCACGATCAGAAGATTAGCTGATGGCGAAGCTGAAAAAAATTTCTGATTTTCTGAAGATTTTTTTCTTTCACATTTCTGAACTTCTTCGGCATATATCAAAACAGTTTGAAAATAAAGCGAATCGAAATGAGAAATGGCAAGTTATATCTGAATTTGAAGACGGATGCAAATTTTGACTTCCGAAACGTCACGACGAGTATCTGTACAATTTCTTAGTCTCTTTCTGCTGGATATAATCAATAAATCCGGCAAGTTACTGATAAATGGCGCATTATCCTCTGTGAAAAATACTTTGAATTCATCTTCAATACAATTTTCATTTTTTCAGATTCAAAACACAGCCAAACCATGATGATAATCTTCTCTCAAAATCAGTAAATTCTATCAAGATGTGCTTTCTAGTTTTATATATGACCAGAAGCATCATGTGAAGAACAAGAGTGTTCAAGAAAATTTGAAAATATCCCCAAATGTTACGGCTAAGAATGTGTGCTCTGTACTGTATTCATGTATGTGTGAGAATAAATGAGGGACATCAGCGAAAATTCGGGTATTCTGTACAATATAATTATCCCCAAGTTTTCAGCCATCATTGCATCAATGTTATGTGAGGAGGTAACAAAAAGTAGTGTAAAGTCCTGACAATTCTAAATTATTCTGCATAATACCTACCTAACTTATGACATGAATATTCAAATTCGCAATAAGCAACCATTCAAAATCCTACAAAAAAAGGAATGATTCAACCCATAAACTTTTTTGAATAATTGTCCCAATTGTTTTTCAGTGACCAGTCAAGATTATTGGTATTTTATTGATTTTCAGGGTGCAATAATTTTTGCAAATTGTAGAAAACAAACGGTTCAAATTTATATAAACTCGTATTCCTCAACTATTGATATCGTTCATGATTCTGTGTGTATCTCAACATACAATTCAAATCAATTTTCAACATAATTATTGATCAATCATAATCATTTGTATCTGTGGTAATTCCGGTAAATTTGGCAAGCATAATTAAATTTTTACGGCAACTTATCACATGGAATTCATAATTGAATGAATATAAAAGTGAAACAATACCACAAGTTACGAAATATTTCTGATTCGTTAGGAAAATGAATTTCAAATATGTAACTCATTACTGAAATTCGTACCATATTTCAGTAGCTAATATTTAGTATCCAACTTCTTTCCTCTACACGCAGAAAGCACTTTTTTTAAGAAATCAACGAGTAACTAGTTCAATTATTATTCAATATGTATTACTACACTCAATCAAAAAAGTTTTTATATGATCGATATACTTCGGCTGTGTGTCAGACATCCACTAGACCACAACATCGATTAAAATAATCAGTTTTTTGAGCCCCCCTCTGAAATATCATGTATATATAGTTCACTCCGAAATATAATTTTCATCAGTATCAATTGGTGCAGATTTCAATAGTGACTCCACTACAATGAACACTGTACGTTTAATGAATTTATTATGATTCAAATTTAATCAAGCTCGCTCTTGTTTTTATAGCTCATCTTGTTAGCTTCCGTTGTCATCGGATTTGCTGCAGCGGGTCATCACGGATATGGAGGACATGTAAGTCAATATTTTGGGAATGATATAATTATCGATAACAGTATTAATGGACTTGTGGGCAATATTTCAGAAGTTTGAGGTCGTTATTATCATAGATGATATGAGATTTAGAAAACATTAAAGGAAATCATTACAACGCTATGAGAGCGGTATACATTTGGAGAAACCATTTTGAGAACAATTTAATTGTCATTCGAGGTGTATTTAACCTCTAACCAACGAGAACTGTGGTTTATCGTGCAGTTCCGATATATACTCAGCGGTGATATTTATAGCAAAACCTAGGATATTTCTACGAAATATCTAATCCTAATCGCGTATATATTGAAGAGCAGGGGATCCAAAACTGTGCCGTGGGGTACTCCATACTCAATAGTATCAGGATTACTACAAGTATCGCCTATTTTCACGAACTAATGTCAATGTTGGAGGTGAATAGTATCGCCTGACTGTTGTCAGGGTTGATACTAATCTTCCAGAGTTTGGCCCACTTCTCTTGTCTGTCCGCTTATTGTTACAGGTATCCTGTAACTAGCACGTGGTTGGTGGATCTTGCCAGTAAAGCTGTGTCGTCCGCGTTGAAATTGTTCTCTGGGTTATGCTCGTTTGCTGTGTACATCGAGAAGAGGTGTGGGGATAGAACTGCGCCTTGTGGGAATCCCTTTTCTAGAAGTAGTCTGGTGGAGAGTTCTTGTCCTACTCTGCATTGGCATTGTCGGTCAGATAGATAGAATCGATTAGTCTTACCATTGGTCTCGAGTAGACAAAATTTGTCATGCCAGACTACATCGAATGTTTCGGAGACGTCTAGGAATATCGATCCGATGTGATAATCTTTGCCCGTGTTGTCAACCACTTCAGGAAGTTCCGTAGAGTGTTCTGACCCGAAATTGAACTGTTCATCCGGTAGAATTCTTAGTTTGTCCGTGGCCCCTTTGAATGGGTAGGAGAAGTGTTGTAGTCGGCGTAAAGCGGTAATGACGAACATCATGGGTAGGGCTTTCAGGAGATGGTTTGTAATTTGATCCGGACCTGGGGCTTTGCAAAACATGCCACCGTTTACCAGCCTACCCAAGCTAAGGTGTGAGGAATCGTACCGACAGCCGAATGGCCGCAGGGTGATGGCGGTAACGAATGATCCCCTTGGGGAACTGGGCGAAGCCTCATTGTAATCATCATACCTTTGGTAACTCTCCTTGCTACTCGTGGTAACACTCATGAATGAAACAACAGAAACAGCAAAAAAAAATCAATCTCGAAGCTGGACAGAAGTGTTCACCTCAATCTAAGGCGGTGGCTGGAGATGAACAGAAATGTCCACCCCAATCTACCGCTTGGAATGGGGATGGACACAGCAGATCACCTCCAACAGCGATGGCACTTCCTGAGGAGGGTGTCATGTGCTTCACCTTGAAGAAAAGCAAGGAACCGGCTGCCCCTGCAGGAAACCTCCCTTACATGTGCACCTCCACGGAGGGAACCCCAAGAAGGTTGAAGAAGCCGCACAACGACAGTAATATCGATGCACCTTCCAAAACCTTCGCGGAGGCCACCGTGAGACACATCAAGGTTGCTAAAGAGAGTGTGTGTTCGGCGGGTCTTGGCCTACACCTGCCAATATTAAGGAGATGTCCCTCAGTGACCTGTTCACCTTCCTGGAAAGGACAGGATGGACGATGACCTAGGAGGACAACTCCTCGAGAGAATGTACAATGGGTCACATGTGGCTTGAGTGCTCTGAGTCTACACTCACCCTCCCTACTCTACAGACACCAGGGGCTTTTTGGGTAGCAAGGACTCTTACGATGTATATCGGGGGATATAGGATTCAGGGATTGAGCGTCGTCCCTTCGATGATATCCCATTCTGCGCACCGTCTGTTCGACGTATCACTCGATATTTTTCAGCTCGTCTGTAATGGAAACCTCATTTTCTCAACAGTGTCTATCGAAATGTTCAGCAAATGCTTTGGCTTTCTCTTGATCGGTGTAGATGGTACGTTGCGCATCATGTATTGGTGGGCATGGTTGAGTTCTGTCAGACGTGTTGTCTATTGTGGGTCTCGAAGTGCACGCAGCTTTTGCCGCAGACTTCTGCCGGCTCTGTATATGCTCCTCTTGGAGCCTGGCAAGCTCCTGACCTCTTTGGTTCTCATTCCTACAATTCCATTTGCACAATCTCGTGTTGAAGTCGCCTATGGCCACTATAGGGTGGTGCTCAGGAAACATTTTTGCTATATTGGTGTACCTGCCCTCTGCGGGGGAAAGGTACACATGTACACCGACATAGCCAAAGCGAAATAGTCTCCAAATGATTTTGATGAGTGCGCTGTCGTCAGAAAAGCAATATGTTGGTTTTTTCCAACAAGTCATTCATGTAATATAGAAAAAGTGTTGGAGACAGTATGATTTCCTTGGAAATACCAGCGTTGATGGTAAGGCTATAGGGAAAACCATCGAAACTATTGGTAAGGAATGGTCTTCGAAAAAGCTGCAGGATCATCAACAACGACGATTACATAAGTCATAATATCGAAGTGCAATTAATTGACAAACCATTATTACAGACAAGGTGATAGGCTTCAGAAATATCAAGCACGGTATCACAAGATTGTCTGTATTTCTCAGTTGCATTGTTCCAAAGGTGGTTTATTTACGAAAAAAAGTCGCCTACTAGAAACATGTTGAAGCATTCCAAATATTGAAAATATGTTTACTTATAGTAAAGCAACTGGCCTATAGTTATTTGAGCAACTTTTCTTTTGCCTTTATATGGAAAAGGCACCAATGCTGTGTTTCGAATTCTGAAGTTTTTCTGAATTTCATTCAGTATGACCAATTTAAAACGGTAGCACTTTTATAAAACATATATTTTTCAATCTATTGTTTTTTATTGTGTCCTAGAGATTCAAGAAGTCTACTAAAATACCAAATGTTATGAAGGAGTCTTCATTTCCAGGGCAAACTTTCATTATCTGGAAATAGAAAAAAATATTGACATTTTTTTTATCTGAAATGTTAAAATTACGTTGAAATGTGTTCGTTACCATTTCAATTCCACAACTTTCATCAAAATTTTGACTACTCCACTGGATTCAGCAGGTTTTGCTTCACCACTATTTCATTGAATTCTGTTTATCATCAAACGAATTATAAGTGAAGAAAGTTTGAAGAATATTTTGAAATAGCATATACAGCGTATATAATAACAGATTCTTATTATTCCCCAATACATTTTTCAATGACGAATGCATTCCAAGGTAATTTTGACATAAACTATTTGAAAACTACGTGAACCTAGGTGTAGTCAGAGTTTTTCAAAAAAAATCATATATTTTTTTTTTATTTTTGATTATGAAAAGTTACAAATGTTGGCCCTGGAAACGAAGACTTATTCATGAAATTTGGTGTTTTAATGAACTTCTGGAATGTCTACTTATCTACAATCAATGAAAATATGATTTGTAAGGATTCACCATTTTGAATAGGTCTCATTGTATGAAAATATATGATCCAGCTTCATTCATTGGCTCCACTTAAAGGAACCAAAAAGTGTGTATATTGAGGAGAAATAGAGAATGAAAGAGCTACTAATAAGCTTCTGAAATTTCAGGTAATGAAGCACCAATGTTCTGAGTTTACCAGCTCATTTACTCATTTTCTTTCTCTGGATATTACTAATAAAATAGGAAACGATTTTGATATTTTCTCGTACCACAATTTCCTATTAAAAATGTATCCAAGTTGAACTTTCTTCTATATTATAACAGGACAATGCTCATTACAAATTTGAGTACGGCGTCAATGATCCCCACACCCACGACCACAAATCGCAGTATGAACACAGACATGGACCTCATGTTACCGGTGGATACACTTTAAAGGAAGCTGATGGTACTCACCGTATTGTGAAGTACACATCTGGTCCTCACACTGGTTTCGAGGCTGTCGTTGAACGAGTTGGTCATGCTCAACATCCAGCTCATTACGGACATGGTCATGGACACGGGCATGGACATGGAGGAGTCGGAGGAACCAGCTATGTTGGAGTTACCCACTGGAGCAACCAAGGTCATGACGGACATGGATATTGATTCAATTCTATGTTTTATTATTTCGTTGAGAAAATATAATTGTTTGAAACAAGTTAGAATTGCTTTTTCAACTGCCCCGCTCACTTCCACGAGATAATTTGTTAATAAAGTTAATAATAAAGTATCGCTTGCTCTTGGCAATCAACACATATTATAAACTAAATTTATCTCTGTCCGAACGCGGAAAACTCAAAAACTACGTAACGTCAGACGGTTTTCACCAATGCACGAAGTGATTCAAGGGAACGATTCATGATCATGACTGATAATATTTTATGTGATGGTGAAATATGACAATGTTACCCGTCAGAAGTTGGTGGTGCTACCCTACGAACTTTTATTGAAAACGCTGCCTAATCCCTTCAAAATATGTCGAAATTATTACTACAGATTGTTTTTTTATAGATCCACAAAAAAGTCCGTCATAGCATACGTCTATATTTTGAAGATAGCTCAATATATCCATTATAATGTTTAAAATAATGGTCACATATAAAGTTACAATTGGAAATATATTCAGTCGGATAAAATATCCCTACTAATTCAATACGTTAGTTACTTCAAGTATCCCATGCATACTATACCATTCAATTTAAATTATTATCTTAGGATTCATGGCAAAAATTCAAACCAAGGTCATTATCATTAGTTACATCTTAGAGATTTGATGTCAGATTATGTGTTAGATTGAATGAAAGAAAAAACTCGGAATTATAAGGGGTTGACGAACCTTGTTTTATATATCCCTTCCATTTGGTAGCCTCACCAATACAAAAAATGGTTTGAAGGGTTTCGAATGTTCCAGAATATTCTACAGCATTCTGAATTTTCTGGAATATTTCACAATAACCAAGTGTGTTTCGGGATATTCTAAAACGTTTCAGATTATTTCAGAAAATTATACAATATCCTATAATTTTCCAGTATTTCTGGAATGTTGTGGAATGTTTATGAATACTCTCGATTATTTTGGATTGTTCAATGAATTTCTACAGGGCAAAACTTCCAGCTCTCAGCCCTTCAAGTGAAAAAGGAAACCTTCTTCTTGGATGATAAATAAAGGACTACCATATCATATAACAGACCCAGTTAATTCCAGGAACGAATCACACTACTACTTAATGTTATGAAATCAAGTAGAATGGTTTTCTAGAATGCGAGAATTGTAGTCCATATATTTTCAAAACCACACCTCTCAAGTAATAAAATAATGATAAAAATAACTTTCAAAACAAGCTTTTATTCAAGTGCCCTAAAAAGATCAAAATAGAATTTTAAATAACATTAACCACATTTATTTATGACTTTACAGAACTGAAATTATAATAAAAGCTTGTCGCGATGCCTAGAAGAAATTTCTACATATTCAGTCAGATGAAATTTAAATTCAGAAACATTCTAACAGATCAACTACGTACTGCAATAAATTTCAAATCCGATAAATCCTATGTGTGCAAAAAAGTTATTCAAGGATAAATTTCCACATTTTAGGCATTCACGGCACTTTTATTCAATTACAAACATTATGAATTGCTTACAAATTACCTAGTTACAAAATTTCAATTACAAATTGAAATTATCGCGACAAGCTTTTATTATAATTTTTATTGTAACCTTTATGAGTTTATTGGAATAAGGAAGTATTATGATGAAACTCAGAACTCTAATTTCTCATTACTGCTTCTCTCTACGACCTTTACAAGCCCCAAACTATGTTAAATGACATACTACTTCAACAACATACATGCACTGAATTTTAGATGTGAGGCACAAAACAAAATCGTCTTGATGTAAGTTGGACAGCTAACAGACATAAAATAGGACATGAAAAGCTCATATTTTCACAATATGTGAATATAGTGAAAATATTGTGAATATTTATGAATTTTTTGATTTAGGACTTCAAAAAAATATTCTAGGATTGCTTGTGCTATCAGGTCAAAAGATTTGGCAATACTTTACTTCACCCCATCAAATAAAAGTGTGGCTCTGAAAAAATTCTTACGCTCTAACCTTTGTAAGAAAGTGCAAGGTACCAATAATTCAGCAGTAGTACTAGATGCGACATCTTTCGGTAAGAAGCAGACTTTGGTGTTTCCAGATTTCATTCATCTAAAGTATCTACAATATTTTCGATTTATTAATTAATATTGAGATATCTTAAGGAATATAACAATCAACTGACTAGGAGTAATCTTATTATTTAGATTAGACCATGAGCAAACGTAATCGTACTTGTGTACCCTCCTACTTTCCTCATTTCAACAGGTCTATTTCCTGAATTATCAACTCAATTTTCATGCAACGGTGTATGCAGAATATGTGATTGCCTGGTTGCATAAGAAATACGCCAGGATATTCCGTAACACAAGGAATAAGACGGTCTTGCGCACGCGATGCTAAGATATGAGAAAACTAGCGAACCGCCCCGTCTCCGCACGGGTGCAATGTTGATACTATACTAAAACCAATAATGATTGAGAGTAGAAGTAATCCCAGTTGACAGCAAATCGGGGGCGTGCTTATTAATTTTTGAGAGGGTTAAGAATGAAAGAAAAATTCTTAGTACAATTAGTTAAAATATTCATACACATTTTTTATTTATTTCAT